TATCAAAATTGGAATTCAAATAACTCTCCAAACAGGTCAAAGTTTACTTACGTTTTGGATCAAACACTTTGTATTTAATAAAGCTGAGAACTTCATGATCCTCACATAACTGTCACAAAAATAAAATAAGAGGTAAAACTCCAGTAAAAATGCACATAAACACATAAGCAAAAATTCCAAGCTCCTGGAAAAGACACACAAAAAGGAAAATCCTGACTCTTTAAAAAAGCTTCCAAGAATTTATGGCAAATTATTATTTTAAAAATATGTTTAGATTGGTAACTCTTTAGAATACCATTCTACAGTATGCAAAACAAGGCTCATTTATCTGTGCTGTCCCATAATAAATATGATTTTATAGGCACAAAAATTGTTAAAGAGTACTGATATCACTACTACCTCAAACAACATTTTAAATAGAAACAGGTTCTTCTTTTTGACATTCCCACTTCAGTACAGTAGCTCAGAAGTTGTACCTACAAGCACACCATTCATGAACCAAACTTAACTTTCAGACAGAGCTTGAAAAAAAAAAAAAAGTTCATTGAACTGAAAAAGAACTCACTGAACCATCATCAGTTTTACCACTGCCTCCACTCGAGAGGCCCAGTATTGCACGTTTTAAGCATCCAGAGTTCATTTAGGACTCAACTGTGCAAACTGTTCCAGGTGCATGCTTCTCTCCAATCCAAAATATCCTAGCAGTCATTAGAGTAACCATCTCAGGGAGTCAGTAAATCTTTTGCAAATTTAGACCTAACTCTCCCTGTATTTGGCATTCTGTGAGTCTCTTCCCCTTCCTCCACAAAAAACACATTAAGCTCCTCAACTTTATTTCCAAGATCTTGTTTCTCACATTAAAAAAAAAAAAAGAAAATTGAGAGAATAATGCCAGAATTGTGAAAATAGAGGGGGGTGTATATATACACACACAGCTTCTATACAGAGAGGCTACAAACCTATTTTGAAAACCAGTTCTCTTCCAGTCGCTATGCTGTAACTATCCCAGTTATTTCTTTTTAAAAGTAGCATAGTGTAAAGCTAGGATAGAGCCCCAAAGCACTATATGTCACAGTCATTTCAACTGCCTACCTTTACAAATGTTTCTTCAGTTACACACAGGGGAACATTATAATAATGCAGCACACATGAGGGTGGTTGGATGATGTTCTTAGATGCTTGACCAGCACTGGTGAAGCGATTATTCTTACTCATTGCAAAATCCTTGTAACTACTCGTGCCATCCTCCAGTTCAAATATCTGGCTTGGAACTACTGAATGCTGCTGGGAAACACTGGGGGGGAGAGAGAGAGAGAGAGGGGGGGGGGGGGAAACCTAGGGGAAAAAAGTGATGCAACACAAGTGATGCAACCGCCCACCACCCACCGACTGATGCCCAGTCAGTCCCCGAGCAGCGATCGCTGCCCCTGGCCAACTCCCCCCAGCCTATATACTGAGCATGATGTCATATGGTATGGAAT